AACGGTGCAAATTTGTAAATTTTCACAAATCTAAACTCAACGGCGTCATAACGTACTGGCGCTGCAGGCGTACTTGTCACTGGGTTGCCATACAAAAACAGTGCCTTTTACTTATACATATATATATATATATATATATATAGACGAGTTATTTTGATAGAATGGCCGATGTCTGATATTTAACTTTATCGCTAATATTGACTGATACAATGCTGATAATATCATGCATTCCTAATTGTAATGATTAACCACAACTAGAAAATGCCTTGTTTTTACCTTACTGGTTTTATATTGTAAACAAACTTCTGGTTTTGAGCCCAATATCTTTTTGCCGTGACCTAAATGTCATCTCTACACCATTACACCTGTGCACCTGTTTCATTAGGTACTGTATTTGCAATCCAATTTCAAAGTAGACTAATTTCTTCCTAAATGTAGCGTCTTCACCAGGCAGCTGCCCAAAGGCTATATGAAGTTGTCACAATCACAAAACCTTGCTTCAGGTCATTACTACATGACAAATAAGGTCCAAATTTTAAATAATCAACCAAGTATGAAAAAGAAAGATTCAGTGCTGGTTTCAGTTTACCTCCTCACAATAGACCAGTTGATCTAATAAACTGTTCTTCTGCTACTGTTTTATAAAAGTAAGAACATTAGAGTTAGTTATCAGTCTTGTTCATTTAACTGATTTCCTCTGAGTTTCAAGCGAGCGTTTGTTCCAAGTTTCATTCTTAAAACTAGAAGTTGTTCAGTAGTGTTAGATGTGCAGATTTTCTTAAGCAGGCAACAAAACCAGCTTAGGAAACTCAGGAATAAAGTGTTTGATTTTGTATTGTGGTGGGATGAGAAATTACTATCTTCCATGTAGCAAGTGTTTTTTTGCACAATGGAAAAAATTCAAAGCAAACCAAATATAAAAGGAAAACAGTAAACCAGGATCAAAGACCTTTTTTACACTTACTAATGCGCATGCATAAAACCAGGCGCCACACCCCAAATACAGTCACAGCTATTTGTGGTGTTCAAGGTCGGCGTTCAACTCCAGTGTTGCGATGCTTTGCACCAGTTTTTTTTATTGACTTTTATATACAGTCCTGATTATGAATTTGTTTCACTGGTAATTCATGTTGCGATAGCGAAATGTCTTCAATGTGGAATGTTGCCTCATGTCAGGATCACTGCAGAGTCCAGCTGATAGAAACATGGGTAGATATTGTTACCATTTAGACTGTGTATTTTAACAAACTGAAAGTAGGCATGAATATATCTAGACTACAATGTATTGCAAAATACTTACTTTGAGCAGGCACAATAATAACCGTAAATAGGTTGACAGGAGTGTGGAAAAATAAAGCTGGAAGTTCAGCTCATTATCGTCCCCTACGGGTCCGGAGCTTAAAGCTGTAGCCTGAACAGGGGCAGATGACCTGAATAAAGTATGCATGCACATTGGGATGTCCTCCACTTCTTCTGCATGTATCTATAGACTACGCTTTATTTACTGGTACTTAATTGACCAATCACAACATACAGTCTTTCATGAGGCAGGTCTTGAAGACAAAATACAAAGCCTTATGAACAGAAATAACTCCAAGGTGCTGCAGCAATCAACAACATTGTAAATATATATATTTACGTTAAGGCACAAAAGCATATTCTGTTAAAATCGATTTGAAAAGATCTGTTTAAATCAAATGCAAACATTTGTTAACTTGGTTAAGACGCGTTTTATTTGAAAGCAAAAGGAACGTGCAGGTGCAGCTTAACCTTTGCCTCTGTATTGCTGTTTTGCTTAGATATTGTATTGTTTATTCACATATGTTTTATTAGTAATTATGAAGCATAACAAGAAGAATTTAGTAATATTTAATAAAAAAGATCTATAGATGACTGTGTTAACCGTTTTGCAGGTCTTTATTTGTATCAATCCAACTTGATTACACCATGAGTCATCCTCTGCAGCAGGAAGAGAAAGTATGTAGCTTGGCTGCCTGAGATGTGAAATTTTCTTGGCATTTCTCCTAAGATACGCATAAACCACACATACACACGCACACACTTACCCTCCGTTTCTTATAGGCTCAGATATGCCTGCTGACTTTAATTTTGTGCTGTTGCCTGTTTTTTTCTCTCTCTCTCTGCGACAGAACAAAAAGCATCGAGGCAGATGTGTTATCTCTTATTTCTGTTTATCTAACCCTCCCCACCACACCCCACCCGTCTCCACAGACCAGCTTTGTTGCTATTATCAGGGTGTTTTTTTAGTTCACTGTATGTTTATAGATGCACAGCATAGCAAAGTACAACTAATAATAGGAATTAACATTTCAATATGCTGACGCAACATCGAGGTGGAGGTGCATTTCCTTTAAAATTGTGGACCACAGCACACAATAAACTGAGTCCATTTGCATAACATTACATGATTACAGTGCTAGGGTTGAAACATCTCTGTTCAAATAAAAGACTGATTGAAACTGGAGGAATGCACTTTATATCTGGACAGCAGCTGCTTAGCAGTGTTCAAGTTAGTGTGTGTTGTTTGTAAATGTGTAGGCAGGAAGCTGGCAGATGTGAATGTACTGCAGGTTTTTTCTGATTGTCCTGATGCATGCTCAATAATCCAGGCAGATGGATCTAACAAGGTTGAGTCAGGTCCTGTAGACGTGCTCTTCAAATGTTGAAACATTTTGTCTTTTGTCCGAAAGACTTCTTCAGTCTGAGGAGCTGCAAGCACAATCAGTCTTGTAAGCAGCATATTTGTACAGTGGATCAACCAGTTTGCTGGTGACAGCAAAAACTATTGGCACATGCAAAAAGGAGGACCATCAGCCAAACAGCCGATAGTTGGTGTCCTGATGGGTGTTTACTATTCACAGAGTGAGTGATACTTGCAATAACAGCATTGTAAGAGAATGACGGTTGGACACGGAGGCCTCTGCCCCTTTTTAACAATGGAGGAGTTCTCTTCACAACTTTCTTTACACCTCTCTCAGTCTATTGTTCCTCTTTATCAAGAATGTGAACATCTTCATCTCTGAAAGAGTGACTGCTGGCCTACAGATGAGCATAGACCGCAGAATCCTGGTCTGATGATGTTGATCTTTTGTGCTGGGCCATCCTTTTGGCCAGTGGCTGTTCACTTTCCCCGATGTGACTGATCACAGCCCTCCTGACACTTAACAGCATACATAATATTGTGCCAGAGGACTGGATCTTTGGGATGAACCAGTCAATGCCGTAATGTATTTTGGGGTTTAAAAGCCACTGAAAATAAACGTAAATTTCTCTGAAACTCCCATAACATACAAAACGCTCTTTCCACAGAGCAACTGTGCCAACTCCTGAAACTGTGCCTGTAGTCCACCTCCTTCACATATGGGTGCAATATTTTAGGCAGAATCATGGGTGTGTTATGGAGTCCCCACTTCTTCCTGCTGTTGTCGACCTGTACATGGAGGAGGTAGAAAAGAGCCTTGGCGTCCTTTTCAGGGACACCACCAAGTCATTGGTTTTAAACCAGCACACCTGGGTTAAAATTAAATCTCAGGAAGTCCAACATTTCACTGACCACATCAACTCTGTGGATAAATATGCAAAGTTCACACAAGAAGATGTAAAAAAAAATGGCAGGTTGGTTTTCTTGGACTGTGAGGTCTCGGTCTCTGATGGAGGACATTTGGAAACTGATGTGTACCATAAACCCACCTATATAGACCAGAACTTGTGGTTTGACGCACATCACCCACTGAAGCACAAGTTAGGAGTCATCGGGACTCTGTACCACAGAGCAGACAGCATCCCCACTAACTCAAGAGCCAGGCAGAAGGAGAAATCCCACACAAGACAGGCTCTAGAGCAATGTGGATATCCTAACTGGGCATCAAAGTTCATGCTCAATGATCCCGGTAAAAAATCCAACAAAGTTAAGTCAGGTCTTCTAGGCGTTGTTGCTGTTGTCGTTGTCTCAACAATAACAACAAAAAACCCAATCTCAACAAAAAAAAGAAACCATCCAGATGACCTGACTTAATTTTGTTAGATACTAACTGGACCTTTCTGAAAGCAGAGAAGAAACCCAAACAGGACTCCAGTCAACCATCAGGTGAAAAGGAGGATCCCAGACAAGTGGTCATTCCGTATGTTGTGAAAGTTTCAGAGAAACTGAGACATCTCTGTAGCTTTCAAACCCCAAAATACATTACAACAAAGACTTGTTCATCCAAAAGATCCATGTATGCTGTTCAGTGTCAGGAGGGCTGTGATCAGTCTTACATCGGGGAAACTAAACAGCCACTGGCCAAAAGGATGGTGGCCCAGCATAGAAGATCAACATCATCAGGCCAGGACTCTGCGGTCTACACTCATCTCCAGGCCAGCGGTCACTCTTTCAGGGATGAAGATGCTCACATCCTGGACAGAGAGGAACGATGGTTTGAGAGAGGAGTAAAGGAGGCCATCTTTGTGAAGAGAACTCCTCCATCGTTAAACTGGCAGAGGCCTCTGTGTCCAACTGCCCCCTCTCACAATGCTCTTATTACAAGTACTCAGCCCTCTGTGAATAGCAAGCGGCCATCAGGACACTAACTATCGCTTGTTAGGCTGATGGTCCTCCTTTTTGCATGTGAACAACAAATTTTGGCTGTCACCAGCAAACTGGTTGAACCTTTATGAGAATGTCCTGCTTGTAAGACTGATTTTGTTGTAGCTCCTCAGACTGAAGAAGTCTTTTGGATAAAAAACGAATTGTTTCAACAAAGAAGAATCCATTCAAAGGACCTGACTCGGTCTTGTTCGATTTTCTTCTGATTGTTTCATTGGTAGTATTTTATATACGTTTGCAGAAGAAGGTCATTATGGGGCTGATTTTATATAAATTAAATATTTTCAAGTGATTACTGTAATCTATTTATAAATTACACTTTTGTATTTTGTAACAAATTGTTCATCTGGTGTAAAAAAACTGTAGAAATGGTCAAAACTGCTGATTCTTTTTGCTTTCCTGGAACAATAAATGTCAGAAAGCAGGCAAGCAAGCTTTTAATTCTCACATAAAAAGGTACACAAAGCCTAAAAAGACATTATGTTCCCCATATGGGATTTCACTGTTAGGAAAGGGGGAAAGAAAATAATTCACAGATGATACAAAAACCACATCTGCAGCTATTTGAAATGAAACCCAAGCTAGGTCATCTGTACATACTGTACAGCAAAAATGAACAATGTGTGGAAGTTTTACAAAAGCAGGGTTTCATCCCCTGAGCTACATTGTTATCAACCAAAGCAACAAGCCAGCAATGATAAGCATAAGGGTTTTAAATTACAGAAACTGGTATACATGCATTTCCTTATACAATCATGTTAAAGTTTATTTTTCAGTTGCCTATCCCAAACCCTTTTTTTTGTTTTGTTTGATTTAAACAGTCCTGATCTTTTTTTTCCCCACTCTTTAGCAATGTGATAAATTAGTTTACAAGCTAAAAAGTAGGGATGCACGATATTATCATCATGGTATCGGTATCGGACGATATTGGCAATAAAGTTAAATATCGGCCATTAGCCATTCCATCATAATAACTCACCGATATAAAAGGCGCTGTTTATTTATATATATATATATATATACACATACACACAGTATATACAGTATATAAAATATGCTGTTTTTGTATAACAACCCAGTGACAAGAATGCCTGCAGCACAATTCATAGAGATTTTAGTTGATCATTAAGATTGTATAATCATGCATTGGGCTTCTGTTTTAAGTTAATTTTTCATTTAAGAAACTGTCAAGTATATCTATTAATGCACTACTACTTATGTGCTTTTCACTTGTTGCTTGTGAACAGGTTGAGTTCAGATTTATGACTATTTACAAATTTTCACTGTTCAAGTGTCGTCATTGTTAGAGAGAGTAAATGTCAAAATTTTTTATTAAAAGCTTTGTGTGAAAAATGCTATGCTAAAAGCTGAAATCACTGAGCATCCGCCATGTCGCCATGTCACGTTAAGAGCCCTCCCTTCCTTTTATCTTAGAGCTGCTCATCTATCCAGCCTTTGGTTCAAACAGTCTTATACTGCCATCAGGTGGTCAAAAAAGGTACTACACTCCAAACAAATCAACATTTCTTTTAAAATTTGACAGTTGATTATTGTTAAATTTCAAACAATATTATCGTTTATCGCAATAATTTCTGAGACAATTAATCTCCCAGCAAAATTTGTTATGGTGAAGGTTTTGCTGTGTTTGTGTCGAAATGACTTAAGATTTGCTCCGGTTAGCATGCTAAGCTAACAGAAGCTAATTGCTCGCTAGTCCTTTTTCTGATAATAACAGGTTCTTTATCTTTTTGCCCTGAACAGATCCATGCATGCAACTGTCGCACAATACTGATGGAATATTGTGTGCTGTTTATTATAACAGGTAGGCTCAAATGTGTATGAATATATAAAAATGTGTTTTAAAAATGTTTTACTGTCATAACTGCCAGTTACAGTTGCTGTTAATCTGTTTTCATACTGTTAACTGTGTTTTGAATGATTTATGGGAAAAGAAAACATGTTTGACTCTAAAATGTAAAATTGTTTCATGAATATATTGATGAAGAAAAAAAACTACGATCACACACACAAAAAGAAACGAAAAAGCGATATTGGAAGCTGGTGGAGACCCATTCATGCAACTGTCGCACACACTGATGGACTATTGTGTGCAGTTTATTATATCAGATCCCTGCAATAAAGAACATTGAAGAGCAGTGCTGTGTCCGTGACCTGATTTTACTCGCACCTGGTCATACCTGTGATGAGAAACGACGCAGAGGGTTACATTAGGTTTCTAGACCACACACTCCCTGCCTTAACACACCATGTTTAAACTGAATGGGTCATTAACAGGCTTAAAGTTGTGCGAACTGCGAAACATCACATGCTCATAGGATGATCCTAAAAGAATACCCCGCACAGAGAATAGCCGGATCCAGTGCCACACAGGTGAAGGAAGCAGGGAAATGACTAAAACACGCAAAACATGGGTCATTTGAACCTGGCTCATAATCTTTTATGACAGTTTTTTCCTCAGAGGAGAATACTCAGAAAATATGTGAGAATATTTAATAGTGCATTTACATCAGAGTTTGCTGGAAAGCAGATCCCCTTGCTGGAGGTTCTAATACTTGTTAGTGCATTTCTTTCTGCAAGATGAACCAAAAGACAAGATTTCTGTTTTTCATATTGGTTTGTTGCCAGATATGCATAGAACTAAAAGAGTAGCATGGCATTATTGACATAATTAGTTTTGAATTAACTCGTTAAAATTGATTTGGATTTTAGGATTGTCTGACACAACACAAAATTTTCACCTGAAAATCCATTTCTTTCTGTTTTCTAAAGTGTCATTGATATTACACAGCAGAGGTTTTGAAGCATTGACACTTGTCTCTAGTTGCAGAGTCGGCAGATAAAAAGACCAGTCATTTCACAGACTGTATAACTGGGAACTAGTTTGATTTTAATTTGACAGCTAACCTCACTTTTCAGCTAAAATAACAAATCATTACTACTATCAATATGCTGCCATTACTTAAATTCTCTTCTAATATAAGTCTTATCATGATACTTTCCAGGATGTTCCAGCAGAGTGAGGAGCCTCGCTTCACTATTGAGCAGATTGACCTCCTCCAAAGGCTTCGACGAACGGGTATTTCCCAGGCTGAAGTCCTCCATGCTCTCGATACCCTTGACCACTTAGACCGGCAGCATGGACACAAGTTGACCCATAAAGCCTCCTACATGCCACCCTTGTCTTCCTTGTCTTCTTCCAACACCATCTATGCCTCATCGTCCATGACTTCCACCTCTACCCAGACAGGTTTTCCCGACAACCAACTCTCTCTGTCACTTAGTACCAACTTTGAATCCACCTCCCCGCCTCTGCCAGTTCCAGTAGGCTCACCAATTGCAGTGGCAGCAGTTGTGCCAAATGGCCTAGTTGCCATCACCAATGGAAAGCTTTCACCTCCTCGTTTTCCTCTTGGTATAGCTGGCGGCAGCGTGACTGCACCAAGTTATGGATTTGAGGCCAGTGAAGAGGACATAGATCTTGATGATAAGGTGGAGGATTTGATGCGGTAAGAAACGACACAACTTATCTTTGAGTAGGCTACACCTGAACGTACAAGAACAAAAATAACACATTTAACCAGTTCAAAGCAGTTTACTAGATTTGTTTTCAACATGTTGGCATTGATTTGCCACTAAGGTATTGATCCTTGTGACACCACATGCTGGAAACTACATGTATTTAATAGTTTTGTTGTGTACATAAAGGATTAAGACATGAACTTTGAAACAGATAAAGCATTCATTTACCATTTATTTGTTCATTTTTGTAGCTTGCATGGAAAACATTAGTCTAACCTCCAGTTTGCTCTTTCACCTAGCCTTATATTTTCGATTTGCATGCTAAGAAAGTGAAAGTGCTATGTGTTGTCATCATTGTATGTTTCTATATTTAACCCATCACACATAATGAGATACACCCAAGTGGAGCAGCGGGCAGCTATGTAAGGGCCCAGTGAGCAGTTAGGGATTGGGTGTCTTGCTCAAGGACACCACGACATATGGGTATGGCAGGGCGTGGATTTGGAACCAGTGACTTTCTGGTCCCAAGTTGACTGCCCAACCTTTACACCACAATCACCCAAAACAGGCAGGACAGTCCCAAGAGACAGGGGTGCACAATTTGTTTATGTTTGGCCAAAAGCAAAGGAGTAGGGCTCTAACATAACTGTAACAAAAGGCACTTTAACATAACACTACAAACTGGGATTGAACTGCCTTGTCTGTCTCAATGCAATTTGTGAAAGCACCAAAGCAACAAGGGGGTACATTCTCTAAGCTGCCAAGTGAGGCAGTAACAACTGTAGTAGTAATGGCTGAAATATGAAAGACAGATGTCTGCGCCACTAGTCAGCTGTGACATTTCATTCAATTCAGTTTATTTATATTGCGCCAAGTCACAACAGAAGTCGTCTCAGGGCACTGAACAGAAATATTCATATATAAAATAAGTTAACAGAAATATTCATAATTAAAAATAATTAACATCTGAGGAGCAGTCTGCTTTAACTCCGTCGCAGAACTCATCTTGAGCAAGCATGAAGGCGACCTAAAGGAAAATGTCCCAATATGTCTGAGAAGATGTCTTACTTGTATATTTTGTCAACACCACTAAGTTTTACCTCTTGATTCTGTGATGTGTACTTTATTAATGAACCAGTGACACTAACGACTGATAGTGTATCATCTTCTTAAATGAGTGTCCTGTTTTGTAGAGGAATATTTAACTACCAACCTGTGTGACTAAGTCAGAATCCCATTTCCTAGTGTTACCTCTACTGCTTGTTTCTTTATTTGAAATCATGAGGAATGGTGCTTCAAATATTTTACTGTAAAAATGAGATTCCATTTTAAGCAACTGATTTGTCATCACTTGCGACTTATCCCTTTACACAAATAGACCAGGTTTCAATATACTTACATTTGATGTTTATACTAGGTTTCTAGACTTTTAACATACAACATTACTTTTTATGCTTTTAGGCAACGTAAATGATGATAGAAAAACATCTGACAAAGCTCAGTTGAAAGAGCCTGATAGCTCCACATGTTCATCCCTCCTGTATATCTACAAAAAGATATGGAATGCTGCACCCATCACATGAAACATGGGTGTGGAAAGGGGCGATTTGAGATCTGGCCAAAATTAAGGACGATGGATGTGTGTAATGTCAACGCTAGGAAATCGGATGGATTATTTGAAGAAGGCTGGGTAATTTAGATCTGACAATTCCACATAAATTTTGTATATTACTGTGTAAACTTAGTGATGAATAAATTGAAATCATACATTTAGCCTTTAAATTTGTTCATGTTATATTGAGTCTATAGCGTCAGCAGAAGCCCTGATTATCATCCAGCCATCTTGGTCTGAATCAGAATATGCTTTGAGGATTACAGTGGTACATACACTATTCACACAAGTACACACATCCAGTCTAGTGCCTCTCATCTGTAGTCTGCAGCCAGACAGCAGCAATCAGAGCAGTATTGATTTGAAAATGTGTGAAGATGAAATCAAACCCAAGTGAGAGCAGAGAATATTGCATCAAGATTCCACCTCTGCTTTCCACACACTTACAGCCATTTTCATGCGTTACAGCTGGTGGTGAAGTGTAAAGGCTGTGTTTAACATCGTCTTCTGATGCTTCAGATTTAAATACATGCTGTTTGTGTGGCCGTTTGTTGCAGGAGGGATAGTGCGGTGATCAAAGAGGAGGTCAAGTCTTTCCTGGCCAATAGACGGATCTCTCAGGCTGTGGTTGCTCAGGTCACAGGTGAGTATCGTAGTAAAACACAGAGAGCCCAGTAATCATCAGACTCACCGAGTGACATGGGGCTCTTCATCCTTTAGGAATCAGTCAGAGTCGAATCTCCCACTGGCTCCTACAGCAGGGATCGGACCTCAGTGAGCAGAAGAAGCGAGCCTTCTTCCGCTGGTACCAGCTGGAGAAGACAAACCCAGGTAACACCACCCTCTAGCATCAGTGCTTCATATATTCATCAGTGCTTCATATATTCATCAGTGC